ACAGGAGCACCTGATCCATGCCTCTGGAGGAGCAAGCTGTGATTACTTTTCAACCTTTTTACTATTAAAAAGTGTATAAAAATCCGAAGCTTAAAGACTTACTCTCCACCAATGCTACACCCTGCTGGAAATCAGCAGGCTAGCTCTGTTCCTGTGCTGACTCCTGTTCAGTAAGAACTGCAACCCTGATCTGCCAATATTTTTTTATGTTCTTAAATACCTACCGGTCGCTTAATCAGTCTCTGTGTTCTGTTCCCCAGGGGAGGAACCTTTCCCATCTTGCATGTCAGTGAGCACTTACTCTTCTAAATGCTAGCAATAAAATCTACACTGTAGCTGCAATTATGCAGCATATGTCTGAGAGAGGGGAAAAAATGCGTTTTGAAAAAAAGGGGGGGAAAAAAAAAGTAACCCTCCTCCCTCTCTCCCCAAACTACAGGTATGAACTCTGAAACTTTCTTTGACTGAATGTGGGCTGGAGAAGGCTATATTACTATGAGTTAGGAAATACATATTTTGAAAATTGATAGTTATTTGTAATATCCCATGTCTTCAGTGCTTTCCCCCTGCCCCCTTCTCCATTCTCCCATTTTATGACAGACTGAGGAGAATGTTCCTCTTTTTCCAACAGACCCGCTTAAGTTCAAGGGCTGGCTGCCTCTTCTGGAGTGAGGACAACATCTTTGGTTAATCTTTTTGTTCTTTCCTCTGTGTGCCTAAAAGTAGAATTTATTTATGCTGGTTTTGAGCCTTTTCCATCATGTCTGTGTGAATCCAGTTTGGGTGTGAGTATCTCTAGTGTCCGTGCAATGTGATGCCATGCTAAATACCAGATGAGAACATGGCACGCACACAGATGTGAACTCCCAGATAACTTAGATGTCATTGATGTCCTCACCTTTGAGACCCTGCATGGTTGAGCTCTGTTTCTGCCTCCGAAAACACACTGGTGCCTGCTCACTGCTGCAGGTCTGCAGCATGCTGTCCTTCCTTCTGCTTCTGCCCTGCTATTCCTCTGCACATCTGCACCTGGGGAAACGTGCCGTGGGGCCTTGTACCCTGAGGCCCCTTCCCATTCCCAGTTTTCTTCCCCTTTTTGTCCAATGTTAATGTTCATCGTTGCCTTTTTGCAAAACTCTGTGTTTAGTGGTTGTGGAGCTGATACTGAATTTTGATTTATGTATTGATCGATAGCAATTTTATGTGACCTTTGTAGTGGTGGGGGAAGTTTTTCTGTATTGGGTGGTAAGAATGTCATGTGTGGCTGCATTATCCAGCATACCCAGTGCTCAGGATGAGCAACGTCTGTATGAAAGATGCCTTGCTTCTCTAAAAAAAACCGCACAGAGACGCTTTTAAAAGTGGAGCTCTGTAACCTTGTTTAGCCAAAACTGAGGCTTGCCGAATCCATGAATCACAAACACTTGGGAAAAACAAAAAACCCCCAAACCCTACCGCTGCCCTACCCCTCAATCCTGTAAGCTGCTGTGGGTTCTGAAAGGAGTGAATTCCAATGAGTCAAATTGATGTAGGGGAGCTATTTGGATGAATCCATAGGAGTTGTTCTTACGCTGTTTTTCCAGGCTGATACAGGAGGAACTGGACGCGTGTGTAGTGTGCTCTGCTGGTTTTAGAATTCTCCTTGTTTCTAGTGCCCCACCCCATCCACCCAAGTTTGTTTGTAGCACAGCCAATACTTTGTTCTAAGGCATTTGTTGCTCATCATTGTAATCAGTCCGAAGGGAAGAGAATTGCAGTGTCTGGATGAAATTCCTACGGAAAATAAGTTTGAATATGACCTAAGCCTGAGAGGGGAAGAGCTGTGGGACTTTGCTGGAGGAGGGGAAAGCGGGTTGTCTGAGGTGTACGGAGTGCTCTGGGGGAGAGATGAGATGGACTTGGAAATGTAACTTGTTTAATGTTTTCTTGTTAATCAGTTAACTCTATATTAGAGATCTAAGCTGTCTAAACAGAGCATCTTTGTCCCAGCCTTCTGTTGTGGCAGTGGTGCAGAGCTCCCCTGGAGCCAACTAAGGTGGCTGTGGGCAGGTGGCTCCAGTTCATGTCCTGACGCTTCTCTGCCGCAGCAGAAATGTCATTGGGACAGCACCCACCGCCGTTCTTACCCAGACCCAGGCGAAGGCAAGGTCTCCCCAGCCCCACATCGTGGCAGAGCTGTTTGCGAGCTGTCCTTGCAGAAAGCTACCCCACCCCCAGCTCTGGGCCCTCAGCACCAGCAGGACATGGAGCTGCTGGAGCGGGGCCGGAGGAGGCCACCAAAATGCCCCGAGGGCTGGAGCCCCTCTGCTGCGGGGCCAGGCTGGGGGAGCTGGGGGTGCTCAGCCTGGAGAGGAGGGGGCTGCGGGGAGGCCTGAGGA